TGGGTACCCCCCGGCCTGCGAGGGGCGATGGGGGTATGTGACGAGAGGGGCGGGGCCGAGAGCCGTGGGAACGGAGCGAGGCCGGTGGAGTAAATGCTAATGCGCGACACCTGCGCCACTCACCGGTCTCGAATCTCACGGAGGAGCTCCGGAAGGATAAAAGGAGGAGTGACGACAGTGTTGGACGAGAGAGGACCAGGCCTGGACTTTACTTTGTGTTTTGTGTGCGGCAGTTACTTTCATTTTGTGTTGGTTTATTTTATTAAAGTTTTGTTTAAGCGTTCGCCGGTTCCCGCCTCCTTCTTCCCGACCTACGAACGGTGTTACAAAGATGTTATAGAATAATAATTGAATGAAACCCTAATTTTGACAAAAAATGGACATTCGACCTATTTTTTGAATTTCCTGAAAACGTCCCAGCGCGTCATCCGACGGGTTTTCCCAGATCGCACGCATCACACACATATATATATATATATATTAACAGAATAATTAAAATCACTAATAACATTTTTAATTCAAAGCAAATAATGCAATGGTTAATGCAACAAAAATGAATTAAAATTTTAAATTTTTTGAATTTTAAATTTAGTTAATAAATAGATTTTAATGTTGAAAATTAGTTTGGGCCCTAACAGAATGGAAAAACACTATTTTGGAAAAAGATTCATTCACAAAAAAAAGAAAAGAAAGACTAGTCCCTGGTAGCTGAAGAGGCGAGTTGAGCAGGTCTGACCTCTCTGTGAGTGCTGGCTGGTAACACTGGGATGGTCTCGTCCACCGTCGCCAGTAAAGTCCTGAGCGCCAGTCCAACATCCTGAGAGGAGACACCAGAGACACCCATCAAACACACGTCACACAGAGACAGCTGTCATGAGACTATCCCAGCATGCCCTGCTGCTGACCTTCACCATAGGGACGTACTCCTCGGGCGGCGCGGGCTGGATGCGGCTGGACATCTCGATCACGGCCTTCACCAGCCCCGTCACGTTCTCATACACCTTATCACTGGAGCGGTCCAGGTTTGCTGTGGGAGGAGGACTGATCTCCTGAGGTTGGATCTGAGAATGAAACACAGGTCTGGATCAGCAGCTCCACAGAGAAAAATGCTTCCCACACTTTTACAATGAATTTCCATGACTTCTCCAAGATTATCCTCATGCTTATCATTACTGGACATGGATTTTATTTAGAAATAGAACAGATTTGAATTATTAGGTTTAAATGATTACACTGAAAGTTCAAAGAAGATCTACATTAGCACTTACAAAGCTCAATGCTGAAATATATATATTTTTTTTTTTAATAATTTCCATTTCATAATTTTTAAAAAATTTTTGCCTACTCATTTTCATGATTTTTCCAGACTTATAAATCACAAATATAGAATTTGCCAGGTTAATTAGAACGTTGAATATCATTAGAATGTTGAATATTTGTTTGAAGAAAAATGATAAAAGATAAA